TTCTCTCTGGCCAACCCCGAAGGAAGGGAGTTCATCCTTAAGGTGACCATGGTGGTGATGTGGTTTTTTAGTGCCACACGTTCGTAGCCGTCACTCACTGGAAGCTACCTGGGCGACAGTTAATAAATTCTACTTTTGGGCTGGCCCTACAAGGTTGCGCCGAACAAAATACGGCTATTCTCCCGGGATTGTTCCCTGTAGAACTGAACAAATGCACTCGGTTGGGAGTAAGTGCCAAAAATGGTTTAAAAAATCCCCCACCACATGCAGACGAATAACTTGCTTATGTTCGCATTATTTTTTGACTACATAGAGCCGAGCTCTCAAGAGATCGGATTCTAGGTTTCCTGGTGTTATGGCTATCACCTTCTTAAAGGAAAGCTCCTTGCTTCCGAATTTTTGGTTGGCCCGTGATTTTTCTAGGGGTAAGGACCTCTTCATTAGAGACTATCTTAGGAGGAAACTACCGTTGATCGGTCTCATCAGGTGGTGCTTACACACCTTAATGCGCAGTTTCTTCAAAGAGTCTCATTGTGGTAGCCAGAGATCAGACCAACTGGGCTTCTTCCAAAGCCCTTTGCTCTGTAAATGGCCAGAGGTATCGGTGCTTGTATCATCCACATTCAGTGACTGAGGCAACATCGCAAGAGGTTCACAAGACTGCCGAAACTCGCGAATACTTAAGCTGGCTCGCAACTGATGACAAACTGGTTTAAGTTTTACTCATAAAGTCAAAGAACGCTCCCAGGTTTTGTCTTTTTGGGGCGCATCAGGTAGGCTCAATATTCAAATTTTCATCAGCCTTGTATCCTTCTAAAACCGCGAAAAACACGTATTTATAGTTAAACTGCTGCCAAAGCTGGCCGGCTGAACGCTTCGTTTATATGATTCTTCAGTTAAGTGTGCTATACAGTGGCCATCTCATATTTCAACTCTAACGATATTCAAATTGCTAAAAATTACGGGAAGCCCCAAGAGCGAGCTGTCTACAATTTTCAATGAATTTACGAATGATGTTTAAGTACATTGACATCTTGGGATGGCCCAGTATTTAAAGCGTGGATTTTCTGGCCGGGAGGTCCGTGATTCGAACCCAACCTCTCGGCCGCTCCTGTCTAGACTTGGGCAACCTGGCAGTATCTCAGCCCTCATATTTCCATCGGGTGGCATTGCAGCTAGGCACAGAAAGGGTTTTACGGCTGAAAGGCTACATGGAAAACCCCATTATCGTCCCAACTGAAACATATCTCCCTTTGAACAGAATATTAAGGTGAGAGATTCAGCTGAATTTCAGCTGAGTTTCTCACAAGGACAAGCTTAACTTGCGAATCGGTATTTATTGCAACACCACAACACCATCTGGCTTGTTTGATCTGATGGGCCATACAGTGTATATACCAAGTGACAACACATCGTAATCTAATACGATTCAATATTATGTATACCACATTCATGGGAGACGATTGGTCACCATTGTCCTAGCAGACCAATCGGCTATTGAGGACGTGGGCAGATAAATTGCTTGCCAGTTTCTGAACAGATTACTAACCGGAGTGGAATTTGGATACACAAATAGAAGAGGAACATCGGGACCTTTCATTGAGTTCCCGCAAACACAAAAATCCATAAAGCCTAGGAGAAGCAAATGGTGCCGCAAGGACCAGTCAAACTAGATTTATCTGCCCCCGCCTTTCAAAAGACTGTAGATTCATTCTCGCAAAGTAAACTTTCAAAAGCAGATATGGCCGCGTGGAAGCCGTCCAGAACATTCGTCATGAACGTTTCCGATCTTGTGGTTCGAAGTGCACTGGGGAGAGCTCGTGATTTGGGGGTTTGTCACTGGCCACATTTCAAGCTTTCTACCGTTTTAACAAGTGCATATCAGTGCGATAATAAAACGCACGAATTCATGCCTAGATCTTGATTTTCCCCAAGCGCTGTAAATTATGGATGACCGCTCAACAATGACTACAACAACAGTGCTGCACCAGAAAGGCACAAGAAAAATCACCTTATGATAGAGCTGCATTTTACTAAACATTACTTGCTTGCATTGTTGCCAGTGGTTGTAACTGCGATTTAAAATTACTTTTTAACACTAATGAAAACTGTGACTGACCATCTACTGCACGCCTACTTCCACACTCAGTGTTGGGATCGAGGTGCGGATGAACGTATTCTTTCTTTACCTCTCTACTCAAAACCGATACTGACCATGTAGCTGACCGATGCATCGGTCATCACGGCTAACAACCTTGCGCCTTACTCTCTTCTTCCCTTGATTGCTACTCATTTGCCCCAGGTAGGCGCCCCACGTGCAGGCTATTTGCAAGTCACCTTCTTTGCCTATTTGGAAATCGCCTGACAAAGTCGTCTACGAAGATAAAATCGGTGTGAATACCTAAGGAAACCATGCGTTGGCGATGGTTGGAAGTGTATGTAATGCGAATGTGACCAATGAGTGGCCCAAAAATAACAACTGGATGCCATGTGCTTTGGTCACGTGTTCTTATCGATTACCAACTGCCAATCCAGAACGATCAGATCTTCAACTCTATCTCTGACCAGACACAATAGAAATCTGATCACAGACAATTCCATGCTGAAATAGGGTCAATTGCCTGTTTCCACATTTTGATGTTTTTCGTACATAGCTGACAATGTCTAAGACGGCGAGCACTTCAAGAACGGACAAGGATATTAGCTTTCTGACCTCGAAATAACCGTCTACCAACCTCCAAAACTACAAAAATACAGCACTTATTGTGGGAAGCCAATCAAACCATACTGAAAAATGGCCAGTCTTGTGACAAGTTCAAATAAATGGCATGACTATAGACAGTATTCTGAATACCCATCAACTTCATTTTTACCGATCAGTATAACCTCCCAGCATTATTTAGGTTGTTAAAAAAACAGTGTGGTATCAAGGACACTTCTTTGAAACCTTGAGTTAATTTCTATCCACAACTCTAAGCAGTCTTTGTGCGGCACACAGCTTGAGAATGTTGTAAGCGAGATGTTCATTTGAGTATTTCGGTAAAGCTATCTCAACTTGCATGCAGATGCTCAACTTAGCTCTGCTAAAAGCCTCTTTCAAAGCCATGGTAGAAACCTTTGGTTGAAATATCCACGTGAATGAAAGCAAGTCAGTTTAGCGTCCCATGGATCCGCTAACCAGGTCTCTTTTCAGCCCTGGAAGTCAATCTATCTCTCATGCGGGAGAAAGAACGATTGGCGCTGTGCAGTACTAGACGGCTGAAGATGTTGGGTGTACATGTGTGTAGCTAAGGTGAACAGTGCTCACTCGCATGCGGTTCACTAGTGTTTCCATTCAAAATAATTGCAATCACCACAATCTTCGTAACTGTTCCTAAAGGATGGTGAAGCATGCTTTGTAAACCAGGTGACACTGAGTGAGCGGTGGAAAACTCCAAAATAATTTATGGGCTTACAATACATATTTTTCCCGACTTATGGAGTCAACATCGGCCGTCTTTGTATTACGGTCAGTTGGCACAATAGCATGCCAAAATTTGTAATTGTGAATCGATTCAGCTATGTCTCCTGATCCGATCGTGGAGTGATGCGTCGTAATAAACAGTTTAAAACTCAGGGATTCTTTTCGCGGTGCAGGTGACTCCAATTCGAAATTTTGAATCAGTAGGCCGATTATTCTCAGTAGTAATAGCAATGAATCCATCCGAGTCCTATCCAGAGAAAGCACCAACACCGAGCAGCCTCCATCCGCCATCCTTGCCCTGATCGAGATTTGCCGTTGTCATGATTGCAGTACCCCTGGTGTCGTGAAAAAAATCGGGGCCTTGTTACGGTTGTACTGGGGAGGATATTCACTCATATTTGGAGAATTTTTGTTCCTATTAGATTGATAATCTTGTAGTTCCCATAAGCAGCAATCGAAACATAGTGACACGGGTGAAAAACGGTTCGAAGGATAGCAGCAATCAGTATCTGTTCTGTGGTTTTGGAACACTTGGAATGTATTTTGAACAAGCCAGGACACTTTTGCCTTGCTATGGGCGATTCCAGGATGAATATTGCTTTAGAGTGCGACAACATAAGTAGTTTCTAGTGTACGCAGAAATTCATAGACCAAACTCAAGTTGTTACAAAATTAGTTAAAACGCACTAGTGGGTTTACACTGTGTTTTGTCTCCCGTGTGATTCGGGCCACCAATACCCTTTACCATTCAGTTAAATCATCCTCGTGACGGCTTACACGTAGTTTGCATGTTTTTTGACAGAGCGAGATGGCTCAACTGGTTAGAGCGCGAACTTACTGACCGGAAGTCTCGTGGTTCAAACCCGACCCCTGCCTCTCGACTTCCCCTGTCTAGGCTTGGGCGACCTGGCAGTATCCCAGCCCTCATGCTTCCTTCGGGTGGCATGGCAGCTAGGTACCGAAAGGGTGCTACAGCTGAAAGCTTGTTCTTCAACATACTAAGATTGCATATTTGGCGTGAAGCTGATGGCTGAGGGGATCCTCTCGGCTCCAATCCCCCGAAAGCTCAACGAAATACCCACGTCGGTGACCCCATAGAGTAATAGTTTATGCGTACAGAACGTAACAGCTAAGATAATCTTGTGACTAGACGTTTCAAAAAGATACAAGGGTCACGTTACTTTTTGTCTATTAAAATAAATTCTGAGGGTTGATAAATTCTCAATATGCAGTCGTGACAAGTGCTTGTATACATTCGCCTGCGTGGGTTCATGTCGAACATTGCGAAAGCAAAAGTATTTGCTTTCCAGCAACTTCCACATCTAAAAACCTAAGTTCCCCAAATTACGGTTTCGCCCCAGGTACGGCATGTACGACAGTGTACAAAATTTCAATAACTGTCTCGTTGTCGAATGGTTCTCAATAACTAAAAATTCAAGAGTCCTAATGGACACTTCGAACCTTTACCTGATGTAGTTTGCCAAGTGAAAACATAGCAACTATCGATTTTTCCACGAAAACGTAACAATACGAATTGTCATAAACTCACCGGTTCCAAGGAAACCGCACGTGCAGGACGAATGGAATATATTACCACTCCGACAATTATGCATGTAAATGCAATATAGTAAAGGTAATGGAACGTAAGTTGGAACACGAATATCCCCACGATGAGGCCATAAACGTCAGCGGTGAGAAGGGACAGGTTGATGGTAACCGCACTGACCCAAGTGATCGTGAAAGCCATGAGCGAATCCAGAGTAAAGGCTGCACAGACGTAACCAGCCAAGCAAATCCCAGCCTTGGCCGGTACCAGCTTTCCAGATAACGTCTGCATGGTAAGAAGCTCAGTGAGCTTCTCGTGTTCCATGGTTGCACAGTAGAAACCACACAAGACGGAAGTCACCATGCTAACATTTGCCAGAGTATTGACTGCTCCGTACTTGAGAATCGCGTACTCCTGAAGTACACTGTAGGCTCCGTAAAGGATTCCCCCAATGAGTGCCAGAATGTCTCCAATCACGACATTCGTTTGTGCATCATTTTTGATCGAATTAGTAGGGTTGGAACGACCTGCCTTTTCTACCGCGAGGAAGTCCGCTCCGATCATCATAACCGCACCCGCAACACAAACACCAGCTCCGACGTAATGCGTCCACAGGTACTGATGGCGCAGGATGAGGAAACTGAGGAGCATTGCGGTAGGTATTCCCAAACAATCAAGGAGTTGTATGCTTGTCAAATTTGTGTAAGCATAGGCGGTCATGGTTGCCCATACGGAGTGAACCAATATGACCCCAATGGAAACATATACCACGCACCTGTTTAGGCGGCTGTCATTCGATTGAGTTGGTTCTCTTCTCAAATCGACATGTTCCACCATCACTGACCGGTTTTGGTTACGCTGAACTTGTACTGATAGTCGAGTGGAATTGTAAACCAACAGCAACAAGAAATAATATGGTAGGTTTTGTGCAAAGGGTAGGCTGAAATTCCAGTGTGATAGGAGTGCCGTGCATGTGCCCGATGCAGCCAGTAAGAGAGCCAACGTCTGACCCACTAAAAGAGACCAGACAACTCGCTTGCATGTTTGTCGTCGTTGCTCGCTATTAGTAAGGTACAAACGAGATGACTTTTGGTCATCCATTTGAACTAGAGCAACACTTGGTGAATCCCGTTGGCTCATGTTTTGCTTGAACTAAGTTGATGCGATCAACTTACGTAGCCCATCTTCTATCCGAAACAACAGAAACGTCAAAAAATGCAGCAACCTAGGTCTTTCTGCGACCATGCACTGGCGTGTGACGTTTAGATTCGCAATTGGTCGCGTCACGCACGCGATACCTCTCTGAAAGCTGATTGGCCAACAAGTCGATTCGACCTAGCACAGCAGTCGCACGCATTCATCAGTCGACTAGTGGCATGTGCGACTCATCATTGGTTGCATGATCCAGGAAGACCAGGTCAGTAAGATGGATGTGGAAAACCAGTCTTGTTTGTGCAAACGATTCACATCATTTGTTGATCTTAGAAAGCCGGATGAAGCTGGCTAACATAAATAAAGTGGAGCTACACGGACGGGTCAAGATGACTGAGTTGATTTGGGATGATAGACGCAGGAATCTGAGCTCGACGACTGACTGACTAGTGACTCCAACGGTGGCGGACCTCCAACAAAATTACTGTACCCATTATTGCACAGAGGTTGACACTGTCCCGAAGGAATATGGCGACGGATTGATGAAACGACAGAATAAAAACGGGATGGTTCTGAGTGACACAGGTCCAACACAGTTACATCTACAAACATGGTTACTGTTCACTAATCCTCGTTTGTCTAAAGCACCAACGCAAGACCACACGATAGATCAAGGTCTGTTCAATTGTTTGAGGAGAAACTGCTGGTCATCTCTCAAATTCTTGATACCAAACAAGCGGAAATCTTCGGACTGGCACTTAGTGATGTTACGAGCAAGCTGGTATTCTCAATCCTTAGCCATCGCCAATAGTTTTCTCCCTCTCTTGTTATTCGGTTGATCACTGACCCAGGCAATCTTAAAGAATTAATGACAGTCACTTGCCTGTCTCACTGGATCCATCTTGTCTATTGGTTTCATGAACAAATTACCACCAAAACGTTGGAATTGTTTTTTTTTTGATTTTTAGTAAACATCGTTGTCCCATATCCATCTTACCGTTCCACTAAATGGATGGGTGTTTATGAGTAGTAGCTTGCAGATATCATTCTAAAACAAGCAACTGCAGTGAAGAGCACTTTGTCCTCCTGCTGAAGACAGACCCTAATTTGGAAAATCGAATATGATCGTGTTGGGAACTTGAAAAGTGCACAGATTTTTATAGCATTCAGAGGAGACTTCTTGCTTTAACACCAGCGTTCACATTTATGAGTTCTCGTGATGTGCACGATGCAGACCACATTGTGTTTATCCAGAGCATGCTTAATGAACAGTTAGCATGATGAACAACATGCATCATTGTCATCTGTAGCTAGATGTTTGGGGTCACTCGATAGTTTCGACTAGTTGTCGATCGATAGCTAACTATTTCTCAGTACCGAAGGCTTTTTCACCCGAAGCTGATTACAGCTACTGATAGGAGCCCATCAGATCCTGTGGACTTATTCATGACATTACCGATCTTAAAAGGGACCTGTCATTCGTGTATCTGTTTACAACGTTTTTAGTAGGCCCACGAGCAAAAGCGACAAAAGGAACACACCAGAAGCCCTTTCATGTGCGGCTTAATGAGTCTTCGCTTTCCTAGGGGAACGATCTCTAATTGGGGCAGTCATCTTGGAGAAAATTCTGTAGTTAAATTTTGATGGTTGCATCACTATGGTGCGCAAAATGAACTGTTTCTAAGACAAGAAGTCCTTCGGCATCACATACTGCATTGTCCAAGAAGTATCGTTACACGCAGTTCTAACTTGTAGATTATCGCTTATCCGTTGAGTGGCTTGATTAATGATAGTCCATTAAAACTGTCGATTAAAGTCGATAAACAGCGCACACACACTCGACGGTAACTGACCGTTACCGAAAACACAATATGTGCATCTAGGGGCTGAGCAAAGATAATTTTGATCGGACAAACAATTGCCCCGTGTGTGAGGGGGACCCCCAGACTCAATGACCAGCAGCAACTTGCTGTCTTGGAGCGCAAGAGTTTTTAGCTTGCCTAGGTAAGATTGCAACAGTTTAGAATCTGCATACGATCAAATATGGAACTGTGGACTCATATCGTTTATGACTGCTATCATAACCATAGACCACCCGGATCCTCTGTATTCTACTACCGCAGCAAGAAATGCTACTTGTTTACTTGAAGGACATACTACTCATATGGATTTATTTCACTAGTTCTTGTTTAGCTTAGCTTGGGTGTGCGTAAACAGATAATGCCCCTCAAACGATATTGTGCGTGTCATTTTGTTCATAACAGTTAAAGAATTTTTGAGTTTGACCTCTGAGACAGCATCTTTTTACATACAGCACACACAAACGAAGGTGCGCTGGATATCTACTGCACTGCAGCCCTCTGCCTAACACTGCAGAATGGTAGATACGTCAATGAGCGCTTTTCATGCAGTTTACTGATTTCACGTAAGTTCTGTAAGCCCACGACAAAATAGGTGTAGCGATCGCAATACAACTGGTGAAGTGGTGCCCAGGATTAGATTTGGAAGCTCCATATTCACAATGTGAGATGTCTCATACGCAGACACATTTCGACCTCAGCTCATCCGTTCAGCCTACGACATAGCACACATTGTCAGAAGTGCTTTGTTCGCAAAAGTTCAAGAGGTCATATCACGTGGACGAGAGAGTAGATCAGTCGTTGTCTCAAGTAGCATCACTTAATGTCACGCTAGTGATGGACGCATTAGAATGCCTGGACACCAATGTGGGAGAGTAATAAACACGAAGAGTAACGTGCACAAAGTTAGAGTGGGACAAAAAGGTTTAAATGAGCTAATCAGTGAGGAGTACAGGTCGGTTAAACTCAGGAAGGAACAAAGCCTTATGATGTCCAGCTACCAAGCGACAGTAGTATTAGTAACTAGGTTTCGTCTGAAAGGAAGGGACATAAACAGTTAATGACAACAGCTTCATCAATATGATGAAGTAAAAAACAATTCTACAAGCTGTTGATGAGCTTACGCGGTGTTTGCTGTCAATCAGGTACTGCTACGTAGACCTCCAGAGTCTATCAGTGCCTGATTACCGATGCCAAGTAGGGATATAATCGGCCTGCCAAGAAAGTTTTGAAGATATCCATAATCGTACGACATCCTGTTGAGTCTCCGAAAGGGAACTTTATATTGTGCGTGGGTTTGATGGTCCCGAATTTGAAAAAGGGAGTTGCGCTTGAAAGGCTCACGAAACAATTCACACACAAGTTGGTAGAACTATGCAGCAAACTTCACTTGTTCACATTATTGAGCAGCAAGTGGTCAAGGTCCCATAACGGCGACCAGAAAGTTGGTTCGGTAGTGTGGCTGCCTTCGTTCCTTCCCCGATCAGTCTCCTGATTCAGATCACACAGACATCGCGACGAAACGAGTCAGGGCAGAACCAGTAGACGGAGCATGAACGCAAATGGGTTAGTAGGTTGGTGACACACACACATGCTATCATGCCAGTGTCGGACGCGGTGACATCAAAATGCCATGAGTTTAGACGCAACACATATCCTCCCAATTTCGCATCACGCCAATTATATCTGAATCTGATGCACTCACCACTAACGTGACACGAGGTGATTCTACTTGAGACAATAATCATTCTCTCTTCCAAGCTCCCCAAACCACGTGACATGACCTTCTGAACTTTTGTGAACAATACATTCCCGATACAATCTGTGTCATATCACAGGCTTAAAAACTGGACCAAGGTCAAATGATGCTTGCGTATTACATCCCATACTGTAGATATGGCACCTTTTAATGCAAGGCATTAGATCTTTCAACCCAGTGATTCGGTCCATGGAATCCGAGAAGGCGCCGGACAATATGCCGCAAAAGTCCAGAGACTAAAATTACTGTCGCGCCGCCGTACGAAGTATTCGTTTTACTTCGATGCTGACAGCTCCCAATAAGGAAGTTTTGAACCTGTGAAAGGCTCAGGATCGATCTGCCCAGTTTAGATGATTGATAGTCACAGTTCGACAGATTAGGACCCAGATGAACGTGGAATTTCCCGAGGCTATAATACACTCAACATTAATGCCATCACTTGTTCATCATTCGTGGTTTCATTGCTGCACGGCAAAGCGCAATCCGCAAAGCAACAGGAGAGATGCGAATCGCATAAACGGAATCGCACTTACTGATTCCTCCAGAACTGCTTCCACACACAAATCCTCAATCAGCACAACTGTCGGTCAGTCGGAGAACATCACATTTCAAAATTAATATTCTGTATTGTCCATATCCTAACAAAGAGCTAATAAATGTTGTCAGTGAGTTACTCAGAACAACTGTTTTTAACATACCATTTTCCATACTGAACTGATATATCAAATCGTCTGGCGCTGAGTCGCAAGAATTTCGAATTTCCCGAAGTGATTTGCAACCGAACTTGTATCAAAATCCGATATAAAACACGTATCTGTCGGTGTTATTCATTAGATTTTCAGTATACAAAGAATTTTATGGAAACCAGAGCTGAATTACGGTGATAAGAATAGAGTAAGTCCGCCGTTTCTTGGCTTTTTATGATTTGGGTAGAAAGGCACCTTTGATCACCATACATGGCCACAAATTTCGCTTATATTGTAAAGTTCATTTGAAAAGGAAATTAGTACATAACGGATTTACTAGTGTTCGCTCGCTACGCCCGTTTCGGTGGGCTGCATTTAAGTCAAAAAAATCAAAAAAATAGTGAGACCGCTTTTCCAACACTATGATTTACCGAACTATCATCAATAACTGATACAAACTCGGCCCATCTGTCGCCTTAGTTCATCCACCTGACCCTCGTGTCGCAGATGATCTGTCGCGAAAGCCCAGGATTCGCGTTCATTAATTAGTCACGCACCTCAGAATTTTGTGACAGTGCTTTTAGCAGCGTTTCATCCTCCATGAAAAAATAAGGCCAGACACTGTACAATCGATCGATTCAAGCAATGAGGTCTCCACCGGATAACTACCACAAGCTTCATCACTTGCAAACGCCACGCAACGTCAAAGGCCTCTAAAAATGACTTATGCCGCTATATCGTGCCGTGTATTTTGTGACAGAGAAAATGGGATATATCCAG